TCGAGAAAGTGTTATAGAGGGCGGTTCAGATCTGCCAGTGGAGGTAACTTCGTACCTTGTCGTGTCTTTTCAAGTAGTCGTTCTTTGCTAGAATTGGAGAAGCTGAGATGATATGATCAGTGGTTCTATTTGTTCGTAGCAAATGCGGATTTGTCATCTTGGACAATTTTTAGAAATGTATAATTATGTCCTGTTCTCAAAGCTTGTTCTAGGACAGCTATTAGAAATGCTTCCGATTCTGACTTCATTCTTCTCGGTTTAAGTCACTTTAATGATTTATTTTTATTTATCCACCTTATCCATTATTTTTAGATACTGTCCATGACATGATTGGACTCTTCAATATCTCTTTTAACTTGTTTATTTCGCATTTCTTGTTAGAAGCATCAGGCTTTCAATGTCTGTGCTATTGTGCATGTTTTGTGTAGTGTTATTCGCAATGCTTCTTGCTACAATGCTTCCCTCACACTTAACAATGTTTCCCATTCTTCGATCATATTTAAAAAACAGTATTTTTATTGAATCATTTTGATGATTGACTACATACTTTACAATCCCCACTATTGCATTAGACCAAAAGGCGTCAATTTCCCCTGATGTTGTGCAGTATGCGCTGTGTAGAGGTTGCCCTAGGCGCTGGGTGCTGTAGCGTCGTGTGCAGAAGCAAACGACTGTGTTATACTGTGACGTTGTCCAGTTGTTAACTCCTGATATTCCATAATTGTCTGCATCTTTGCAAGTGCGGTTGTGCAGTGCGTGCCAACCAAAGGTTGCCCTAGGAGCACAGAGCGTGTAGTGTTATGCAGAGGTTAACCTAGGGACGCTACTGCGTGTGGTGCTTTGTCGAGGTTGCAATAGATGGAAGCGGCGTGTGCTGTTGTGCAGAGGTTGACCTAGGGGCGGGGCCACGTGGGATGTCATGCAGAGCTTGACCAAGGGGTGGGACCGCATGTAGTGATGTGCAGAGGTTGACCTAGGGGTGGTGGGGCGCGTGGTGTCGTGCAGATCTCGACCTAGGGGCGGTGGAACGTGCAGGGCTCGACCCAGGGGCGGCGGCGCGCGTGCTGTCGTTGAGAGGTTGAGGTGGGCGCGGTGTCGCGTGCGCAGAAGCGCGTGCGGCGCGTGATACAGCGGCCCGTGCTGCACGTGGAGTTCGGCACGGTGCCCGACGAGCGCGAGGACGAGGCGACCAAGTTCGTCTACTTCGCGCGCTTCGCCGAGGAGGGCATCCCGCGCGTGCGCGACATCAACGAGGCCTGGCAGGTGCTGCCCCTGGCGCTGCTCGTGGGCGTCGTCGAGAGCGACTACCTGCACTACATCAACGAGATGCTCAAGGTGAGAGACTACCTCAGCTTCATCAAAGAGATGCTCAAGGTGAGAGACTACCTCTACTTCATCAAAGAGATGCTCAATGTGAAAGACTACCTCTACTTCATCAAAGAGATGCTCAAGGTGAGAGACTACCTACATTTCATCAACGAGATGTGGAAGGTGCTGTTAGAAATTGTCTATGTGCGCTTATTAATAAATATCTTAAAGTAATCTAATGGCGCTAAAACAGCACTTAACGTGGGCAAATATACTTAAATTTTCGAAAAATTGTACATAACCTTATTTTAAAATCTGCCTTTAAGGAACATATTTCATATGGGGAAAAATATTAGTTATTAGTATTTTAGTAGTAAATTGTTTGACCTTTTTGTATTTTCGAATAGTTAGGTTTCTCAACGATCATGAGACCTGCACCATTCTTTTAAAGGTCCTTTACACTATCCAACAAAATAATGTAATCAAAAACAATATTTCTATTGAACTATTTCTTTTAAAACTTTTAAAATATCCATGGGACTTCATGTAAAAAACGAAAATTAAAATGTCGTTTTCAAATGGAAGTTGCTGCGACATTAGACAAATCGGTTGAAGATATCAATTTTTCATAAAATCAGGTGAACAGGTGTTTCCTGATCGTGGTTCTATCAACGAACCTATCGTTGTTCACAGATGGACAGAGTGGCAGACGTTTTGCCGTCATGCGATTTTTCGATTGTAAGGTGCCACATAACATGTATTCATGCTTCCTGACGTGTTACAGAATTTTATTTCTAAATTAAGCCACTGGATTTATTATTTATAAATATATTCTAACATACCCACCTACACCCACAACTTGGTACCTTCACGGTAGCACGCATGAACCGTAAGCGGGTTATCAAGATTTTGCTCGTGAAGCGAGCTCTTTAAACAATTACGGAGCAGGATCTTCAGGGTGCGAGAAGGTTTGCACCTTAGACACAAAAAAAATCACAGATTGCCAAACGAGCGTATAATTTACCATAAACTTTTAGTGGCATATAGTTAATGACAGAACAAGAAATAGAATCAACACTTTACAAAGAATAATAAATACACAGATAGAAACCTAATACAACACACTCATGTACATGAACCATAATTTCTTGACATTGGATATTTTGAAATAATTACTGTAATCACACTGGGAATTCCCGTTGGAATTAATTATATTAATTTCTGTGCTCTTAATTTACATTGCACGTGAAATCAAAATTCAATTTACAATCTTCGTTATAGATATTACATGTAAAGAACAAATGTGTGCGGTGCATCAACTCTATATTACAATTTTTAACTGTGTCTGAAAAATAGCGAATATAAATGTCCTAATAGAAATGTTTTTAGGCAGGCAATAGCGCATCAAAACGTCTCCTACTATATACTGTAATTTGTTGCCACGTGTTCCTCAATTCTTACCACTTTCCTATCTGTTTTTTCCTGCGACGTGGATTGACCTATTTTGCGGTTCCTAATGTTCCCTCGTGGACTTCCATTTTGGCCTTGATGATGTGCGTTGGTCGCTGCGCTGAAGCGCTTCGGTCCCAGCCGTGGGTCGGTAGAGAGACGGGATTCGCCTCTGCGTCTGCGTTTCTTCTTGCGACCTCTTTTCCCTCCGCTGTTCCTTCTCCTCCGTGGACCTCGCTCTTCTTCTTCCTCGTCTGCTACGGCGCCTGACTATCGCCACGTTGCGAAAATGTCCCTTGCACTTTTACGAATTACTGCTCTTGCTACTTTTACTTTGCGCTAGGACGTTTTATAATGTTTCCTTTGACAACGGGTAACATTTATTCCCGTGTTGTTAATTTGAAGAAACACTATTAAATCTGCACTATCTCGCGGACGACTAACTAGAAACGTCTGGTTCGACGCCGAACACTCCTACTTAGTGTCTGTGCAGCGGCAAACAATAACTAATGTTTAATAAAATGTTGAATCGTCGAACGGTGATCAAAAGAGAAAGCGTTGCCTTACTCGACGCGTGGTGACCATAAAAAGAGAGCTTCCGATTGCGGTTACGCTATTCTATGCGCGCGGCGCCTGGGAAATACTTCGTGATGGGGGTCTGCTTCCCTCTCTCAACCCTTAAAAGAAAACATAGCTCGCTAGTTCGCATTTCAGTTTAGTAACGGGCAACTGGATACAGGCGGCGTTTAAGTCCTCTGGCCTTACGCGTCTGATTATTTCGCTGCCTCCGTAGTTTGTTCACACATGAGACAGTGGTGTTATGGAGTTACGCAATCTATGCACAGATATATATATATATATATATATATATATATATATATATATATAACAAAATTTGTGTTTGTAAATTACTGATTTAAAGCAATTACCAATTAAAATATTTGTTTGCAATTAAATAGGTATACTACAAAATTATATTTGTTGCATTTTGAGTATTTAACATAGAAGGTATTTTGGTGAAGTACTGTGGTGCAGCAGTGCCGTGGCGGCAGGTGTTCGTGCCGCTGCTGCAGCACACGTTCCGCGAGCCGCACCAGGTGGAGGTGGAGTTCAAGCGCGCGCTCAAGGAGGAGGCGGCGGCCGGGCGCGGCGACGTGGAGTTCAGCAACGCGGCGTGCAAGCGGCCCTCGCACTACGCGCACCTGCTGCTCGACATGGAGAAGGAGGCCGAGCGGCGCCGCTTCGTCATGCCGCGCCTGCCGCCGCCGCCGGCCTTCGTGCCGCAGGTGGAGGACTTCGTCGAGGAGGACATCAAGAAGGTGCTGCACAGAGGTGCGTCACGACTCAATATTCATTGCCTTATTAGTTAGTTAACGCCTCATTACTTAGTTAATGCCTTATTATTTAGTTAATGTCTTATTAGTTAATTAATGTCTTATTAGTTAGTTAACGCATTACTTAGTTAATCCCTCATTAGCTAGTTAATGCCTTATTTGTTAGTTAATGCCTTATTCGTTAGTTAACGCCTTATTATTTAGTTAATGCATTATTAATTAGTTAATCCATCATTATTTAGTTAATGTCTCATTAGTTATTTAATACCTCATTAGTTACATATGCCTTATTACTTAGTTAATACCTTTAGGGTAGTTAAAGAAGGTAAACGTTCGTCTTAGGCAGGTGTGCAAGCGGCGAAATAGTCGAAGAAAGGTTGGGAGAGCATTTTGATAGAAACTGCAATGGAACATCGCCTCTTCTATCACAGTTGTTTTTGTCAGACAAGAGTGTTCTGGAAAAGAGACGACACACAATTGACAAAGATTGTTACTTGGAGAAAGAATTAAGGAGTATTGAAGTTTTCTCAGTTACCTCTGTCCAAACAAAATTAAACCTTTCCTTATGAATTCCGTGGCTTTTTGCTTCGTGTTTCTACTACATCCAGTGCCTGGCACACCCTGGAACGAACCTTGAAGACGTTCAAAACGCTTTTACTCAGCTTTCGGCATTCGCTTGTGGTGACAATGCGAGCAGGCGTCATATCTCGAAAATCGGTGATTCCACGGATTGCGGCAAAGCCGATTTTACGCGGGGCTGCCCAGGCGCTGGTACGATCTTTCAGTGACGCATTGCGTTTTTCTATAAGAGAGCACTGAACCTACAATTAACTGGAGGTCTCCAAATGTTCAGGAACGCTGTTCGCGGACCCCTCAATACGAGACAGAGGCGTCTCGTCAACGTCCAAGATGGATAAGCTGAAGGCTCACGCGGAAGGAAAAGAAGGCGATGACGCGCAGGAAGAGAACGCCAACCGCTGGCTGCTGCTCAGCAAACTGGAGCTCATCAAGAACCAGACGCAATGGTAAGCCGTCCACAGTGGACAAGCGGGAAGGAGGCAGCGCCGACTGCTGGCTGCTGCTCAGCAAACTGGCACTCATCAAGATCGAAGTGCCGAGTTGAGGATTCCATGTGGTAGTTTATTATGTAACTTATCCGTAATCATTTTTTGTTAGCTTCATCAACGACTAATGTACAGAACTGCCTTTTTTTTCAATGACACGGAATAAATATTGCGAGTTTCTGGGTCATGTATGTTCGACGATGGTAACGTCTTGTCAAGAACTGTGTTTAGAGAAACGAACGAAAGTTTTCGTATTGACGTTCACCAAGTGACGTTTTGATGCATTTAAAATTGTGTTGTCTATTTGCCAAGAGTTAATGTACAATGAATTCCAGACGAATCAATGTGATGTATCGCATCAATAACTACTTTTAAAATTTATATCTATTTTTATGGGAGAAGTTACATTTGACTACTGTACGTTCCTTAAGCATTCCTCTATGTTTTTAGAAAGTCCTCTTTGGGCAATTTTGAGCAATGATTGAGATGCGTTTGGGGGTGGGGTGGCAGGACCATCGACCACAAGAGCGGGCCCGTGCAGTCGGTCATCCCGTACGTGGACGTGTTCCACGACGCCAGCGCCATCGACCCCGTGGAGTCGGCCAAGGACGCGGCGCTGGTGAAGCAGCTCGAGGAGCACATCTGGGCCCTGCAGTCCTGCATGATCGACACCCTGCAGCCGCTCCTGCAGAAGGTTGGCGTGCAACTCGCAACTCAAAACGGGGGGCAAAGTTAGGAGGGTGCTGCGATAGGAGGCGCTAGTGTCACCGGGTGCGGCCGTGGGTGGGACTCTCCAACTATCTCACATACAAATTGGAGAATTTGTGAGATAAACGAAAAGTATCTTCTAATGTTCAATTATTCATAATCTACACATATAAGAAACCTCTGAAGATAGCGTGAACATTAACCCTACCTTTTGTAAAATTATGGGTCTGCTTGCGTGTTGCGTGCCAACCTACGCAATAGTCACGTATCGTTGCCAGCATTTCGTATTTTAGTGCGCGAGAATATAGCGATCTAAATATATGAAGATTTTCAAAATGCGAGTATCTATTAGTGTTTTCAAGGGGACCGGGAATACTCACAATATTAAATTCAACGAACATTATATACTCTAAAGAATTGATTTTCTTCTGTAGTAGTTATTTCCCTGTATTTTAAATACTGTATAATAGAATTTAAAAAATGTAATTCTTGTTAAATATATGAATTTTCAAAATTGTAAAATATTCATACCAACATTTTTATTGTTATTTTGTACATAATTTGTTTAAATAATAAGATATAAGAATAATCGTACGCTAAAAGATGTAGTTTGACTTTATGAAGAATTACTAAATGTATGAAGTCTCTATGTCTAATAGTTTAGAAAATATTGTTCTTTATATATACCAAAAAAACTTGTGGAAATCAGGATTCAAAGTTTACTACGAATTTCTAGAACATTTCAGGTCCATATTATGGATTTTCAAAGGCATTCGCCTTTTTCTTCTCTGTTTTTTTTCCACCATGTGTCTGGATTGCTTCTCAAACTCTTCTAGTTTCCTCCCAGAGGTATCTTATTTCACACATTGTAAATGTTAGAGATAATTTCACATTGAAAACCATGCACAGCAAGGTCAATGCGCAGTATATTACTTTATTAAAAAACTTAGAAACAACGTTCAGATAAAAGGAATACATTGAAAACATTGCAGATTAAAAATCCTTTTTAATTTTTTGTTTCCGGGACCCCTTAAATCGTTATGAAACCTGAAGTTCAGAGAGCGTACACAAATCATCAAATTTTGCTCAGTGTCCACTAGTGATTAATATGTGGGGGGCGGATTTTAATGATGTGTAATTTTTTTCTTATCACTTCAGAACAGCAGTTTTGAGTTGAAATTCATGTTATGTTATGACAAAACGAAATTACCCTTCTTTTTTTTTGTCTTTTTTGTTGCATTTTTTGACTAATAAGTCATTTTTTAACTTTTTACGTAATTTTTATTGCATTTTCTGCTGATTTCGTCAGTTTTAATTTTATTTTAACGGTACTTGTTTCAAAAAATATTCTGTAAGAAGTGTAACAAATGTAAACAACAGAATTCCTGAGTAGCCTATTCGACTTCTTAGCTCATATATTGTAATGCCAGCCGTTGAGAGTACTATGTAATCTAAGGTTCCTGTGGCGTTTATCTACGCCATTGTCAGTTCGGCCGATTTCGCGATAAATAAAAACAGGTTTTCTTTTAAAGAACAGTCCAAATCAAAAGTTTACAAAGTTGAGTTCACTTGAACAAAAGGAGGAAGCCTCGGTTACATCAGTAACATATCCAACAGCTTGACTTGTTCTTTGGTATTGTGGTGAGTTTGCGTTGGCGTTTACAATGAAATAATTATATGAGTCGTCATTGCCAACAATATTGTTTATTACAATAGCAGTTTTTGATGGCTTAGCCATCATCAACAGTTTCCTGCTAATGGAAGCCACAAGTATGGTAGTCGTTTTGTGGCTTTCATGCAGCAGTAAACTGATGATGGCTAAGTCATCAAAAGCTGCTATTTTAATAAAAAATATTGTTGGGAATGATCACTCATAATTATTTCACTGAGTTGTTGATCTGAAGTGGTTTTGATCAAATTTATTACTTTTTTTCTTGCTGTTACGGGCATTTCTGTTTCATTTAAAGAGCATTTCATTGTAGGCTGTGTTTTAGGCCGTGCTAGTAGTGCTTGCGTGCGTTGTTTCCGGAGCAGAAGCTGTCGAAGCAAGACCCGCTGGAGGAGTGCGCGTACTGGGAGGAGCGCTACAAGACGCTGCACGCGGTGGTGCAGGAGGTGAAGCTGATCGAAAGCAACGTGCGGAAGGTGCTGAAGGTGCTGGAGGGCGCCAACTCGGACTGCGCCATCAACTACGTCATGGGCTCCGACTTCTTCATGAACAGCTACGAGGAGGCCTCCGACAACTATTCCTTCCTCAGCACAGTGCGCAGGCACTTGGAGGTACAATCTCTCTCAATTGCATGTCTACGATTTGTGTGAAATAACATTCGCCTAAATAGCTCGTATTCATACATATATTCTTATGCATAACTATGTACATACATTTGGGTTTTCAAAATGTGAAGAACAATATGAACTAACATTTGAATGAAAAAATTAAAGCAGTTGGAAGAATGTCTTAATCACATGTTTAAGTCACTTAGAGTTTAATTAGTTATATAATTTCTATTTGTATTTAGCCATTATACAGAGTGTTAGGGTGTCACAATTTTAAGCATATTTTGTCTTATAAACTATTGGGATATTCCGAATGGCTGAGTCGCAATAAGCACTTAAAATAGGTTTGAAAAAATACTAGACAGAAATTCGCACTACAGGTGCATAGAAACACTTCAGAAACATTGTTTGTTATTTATAAAATAAATGACTATAATTTTTCAGGAAGGAAACTTAATCGAGAAATAAAAAAGCAGTCGATTTGTTTAAATTCGGTGCTTTTTTTTATTTCTGGGATAATTGTATGTCCCGTAAAGGGCAATTGCCCTCGGCACCTATAGATTCCGGGGTTCCTAGTCTGTCACCCAACCAGGAACCCGCGATCTCTCAAATTCGCTTAACCTTCGTATCTGCACGTAGTTAACGGATTCGGCTTGCGTCGCCGGTTTCGCAGTGGTCGTGGCCATTCAATAGAACCATCCCAGCATTCGCCTGGATAGCCGAGGAAAACCACGAAAACCCAGATCAGGATGGCTGGCACGGGCATTGAACCCGGGGCTCCCAAATGCAAAATATATGACCTGAGCCACTACACTCGGTAGTTATATAATAGTTAAATATAAATACAACTGTCAAAGAACTGAAATTTAATATTATCTGTGGAACAAGGTTTGTGTACTGACATAAGACTGAAAATTGTAATAAAGTAATCCGTAAAACTTGTCTGATAATGGGGTATTTATAAGGCAATAGGTTACGAAGCACAACTCTAAATATTCAAAAAGTGAAACTGGACATTTTGTCTTTTAATATTACTTTGTACCTCCTCTCAACATCAGAGGTAATGAGGTCATATTGAACGTAGCAATTTATATTGAGGTTAAATTTAGATCAACATCTAAACCTGAACTATCACTTTATATTGCTGTAAACGTTAAAAATAATCTTTAAAGAATAATTTTGGACGAATATAAAGCGTAAGATATTGGATGTAAAATGTTAAAATGCGCAAAGAAGTGTGAGTTTTCCTTACATATTAAAAAAAACAACTTTACTTGCAAATATGGATAATCAAAGTAGTTTCAAAACACTTCAAGAGGAACATACAACGTTAACATATGACAAAAGTTTGATAGTAACTAATGAACTAACAAATATGTGATTATAAGTCCTAACCATAATTCTTTTTTTAAATAAATGAAATAACGTAATGAAATCGCCTAAAACCCATCATAAACACGCATAGCTCGTAAACGATGCATTGTTGGCCCTTAAAGCAGGTCATGAATTTTGTGAGGACAGGTGAATTTTTGAGACACGAGGTTTGAGAAAAATTAAATTGAAGGAAAAGCCATTATCTTAATATGAAATTATCGGGACTGTTTGATTTTCTGCGCAATTCATTTTCAATGAATAGCAATATCAGAATGGTTTCTTTCGCACAATACCGAGTTCATAATGAAGTAAAGTACAACTCAGAGGCTACCCGTTCGAAATTGGTTTCTATTACGACATACAAGTTGGGTTCCATTTAAAACGAGCGAATTTTTCGCACGGAACCATCCACTCTACTAGGTTGAGCGCAGTTATGACTACGAAGCGTATTTCTACGATTTTGCATATTTTTGTCTGTTGCTTCAGGGTATAGGTAGGCGAAATTTCTTGACATTAGGTTAGAATTGGATGATATGTAGATTTATATGTTAGTTCATATTTGTGCATATATTCTGCTGGTGCATATTAGTATAACTATGCGCATATGTTGCGTACATATTTCGTTAAAGTAGAAATTTATCTTTGAAAACATTTAATCTTTTCATAGAATATATATCTGAGCGTTATTTGATTAGAAAGAGCTATCCATAGATTGAGTTTTGTTTAATTTTGTATAGCAGGTGATAAATATTTGGGAAAATGTAGAATATTTGTTGATATTATATTTTTTAATCTAGGCGGAAGAAATGTTACAATACATAAAATATATTTCACTAAAAGTAATATTTCCTTCAATTATTTTTCCCATAACAGCAATAAATAGTCATAAGTGACAAAAAAACTTGCTCAACACTATATATTTTATAATGCATTAAATACTCTTCTGGACATATTTTTCTAAATCTTGTGCTTCCTTCACAGGCAATTGCCGAATTTCCCAGTTTCGATAAGGTGAAGAGATCTCTGGAATTCATCGTTGATAAATTGTACCTAATATGGGTTACGTCTTCATATTACAACAAAGACGAAACAATGGTACCGTTTATGGAGAGTATCGCGAACCTTTTGGTTCAGAATATCAAAAGGTTTCTGGACGTCAAAACTCTTTTCACGTAAGTCCTTTTAAATTTCTCGTATTCTAGTGTTTTCGAGGTGTCATCATTACTTCTTTTGAAGCTAAAGTTAACTTCTATTCGACAATGACATGCGATATTTTTTGTTAATAATGCTGAATACGCCATGTATTCAGCATGTCGGTATTAATGTTGTCATGTTGTAGATATTGTTGCAAATATTTTGTTGAATTTATCCATCCAATTATTCATATGCAGTAGTGCATGTAAACATGAAAAATGTTTGTTTTCTTCATAATGGCTTGTGTATTTCATATTTTATAATAGTTATTGATAATATTATTTTATTTTCATTTATTTTAACAATTAGGCGTTCTAAACAATTTTGATTCGTTTTTAATGAAAACTTTAATGTGTTCTTTGTTGGGTTGTAAGGTTGACAAACGTGTAGTTGCAAAAATTAAAACAAACTGTAGTCAAAAATACAGCTTGTAGTTCGAAAATTATTTCACTTTTATACCGAGGTATTCGTGATATAGCTTCTTCTTCTTCTTCTTCTTCTTCTTTTTCTTCTTCTTCTTCTTCTTCTTCTTCTTCTTCTTCTTATTATTATTATTATTATTATTAGGCCTTTTAAGATAGGATATATTCGACTTTTGCCTGCTAGCGGTGTTCCCAGACATTGGCCGTGTTTTTATTTATTATTCACAGGAATTTGTGTTGTGCATGATGTATTCCTGACACCTCGCCTAGCATTCCTGATATGCCTCAGCTTTTATGTCGTCACACATCAACCTATTTCTCTGTTTTTCTCCATCCGGGAATCGCAGCAGGGATCACACCTTGTAAAGCCAACACGCTGTCCACGAACTACGCGAGGGGCATGTTCTAAAAAATCTTGTTAACTATCACAGTTGTTGACTTTAATCTAATATATTAAAATCGATATTTGTTCCTATTTATGTCCAGCCGAACCGATTTTTTTTTAAACTTTGTCAAATTATTGCTTGCGCTTGCGTGAGAAATACAGGCATAATACAATTGGATTGTTCATATGGGAATGTCATTCGCACAGAGTTGCGCGTTGAAGATTTTATGTGTTTGTGCTGACTCAAGCGCCTCGAACAGGAGCTCTAGGCAACCCGCCACCTTTAAGTATTAAATTAATCTTTTCTGTCCCTGCAGTAGTAAAGTAGTTCCTGCGCTTGTCTGTCCCTGCAGTAGTAAAATTTCGGCCGGAATTATTACTCTAAGGTTATCTCGGACTCGTAAACAAAATTTCTTCAAGACTGTCATAGCAAATACATGCTCAAAGATGAGGGAGAACGTTTCATCAATAGAATACTTGAAAATCATGTCCAAACTAGGACGTGGAACAAACCCATTCTCGCAAGAAAATATTTCATCTAAAGAAAGTTTTGCAAAGCGTAGCGTAAAACGTGATTATCAGTCACGTGACCAATAGCGTGTGAAGTGTAATACATTGCAATAGCGAAGCATTGCTGAGTTCAGTTGTGTTAGCGTAATTTACGTGAGTTATACGTCCATTTTGTGTGACAACTGCGCGAGCGATTTGGTGTTGTTGCAGGCTGCCTCTGGAATATAAAATTTGATAAAATTATGTTAAATTGAAGAAAAAATTAAAATAAAACGTCTTTGGGTGTGGGTGGTGAGGCGGGGGCAAAGAAACCTATCAAAAATCTTATTTTTTATGTTAAAGTTATAGTGTAATTACTCATAAGTCATTAGGTGTGATTTTATTTGATTTATTTAGTCACAAAACAGTATAAACTGCATTGTCGAATGGGGGAGGGGGAATAAACTGGGCAAATTTTGTTGAGTTCCTGAACTCCTTTCCAACATTTGAACTATAAATAGTTGAAAGATGAATAAAAGTTAAAAAATAACAATACAACTGAAACAAGCGTGAGATTAGCTGTACATTTGGCCCCCGAGGGCAGCTTTTGACCGTCTTGCCCGGGGTTCGCAGGCTGCCGCTGGAGGACATGCGGTACGTGCTGAACGAGTGCATGAGCGTCCTGGACACGTGGAAGAACGAGTACTACGACACGCGCAAGATGATCGAGGAGAAGGGCAAGGCGCACCGCTGGGAGTTCGACCGGCGGAAGCTCTTTCGCCAGTCGGAGTGGATCAAGGCCGTCTGCAACGACCTCCTCATGATCGCTGACGTAAGGCAGTTGCGCTTTCTTCACACACTCCATGACACTCCAGTGCACACGTCTTCCTTGCAATTTTATCTTCCATGTACACTGTTTTCCTGTAGTTATGAAAACATGCTATAATTTATCTCTACTTTCCCTCATATTTTTCCGTGACAGTACGAAGTTACGTTCCATTTTTGCGCAGGTTTTGAAAGATTTTAAAAACATCTTCGGAGTGGAGCTGAAGTCCATCCTCACAGATCCGGCTCAGATAGACGCGGTGATGGACCGCGTGTACGACTTGCTCCTTCCGATCAAAAACTCCTACTTCGACATCTACGACTGGAACAACGAGCTGAACTGGGAGTCGACTATGCAGTGGTTTCAGAAGGAAGTCAAGATCCTCGAATACCAAGCGGAATATTTCATCGCGTCCTCCTTCAAATTGCTCAGGTCTGTTGGTCTGTACTGATGTCACTAGTGCTTGACGTATTCCGAGAAGTGGCGAGTGAATAACGCGTTTAATAATGAGTTTAGCGCGAGAAAATCCACAACTAGCTCACACATTATGCTATTTGTTACCCTTTTGTCAAATAAATAACTATATTTTATTTATTTCTTCAAGGAAACACGGGTTTAATTTTCGAAAATAGATTCTTCTTATGAAAATCTAAAATTAATTTGTGAGTGTAATTAGTATTAAATTATTTTTTTAATATCCATTACATTTTGACAAAATAAAACTTTCTTGTAATAAAATAAAATAAAATTTTAATGAGCAACCAATTTTCAACAGTTTAGGTTACTTATTTATTGCGAATCCGTAGGACCGGTTTAATTCGACGAATTTTAAGGACGATTACGAAAAATTTTCAGATAAATTTTATTTGAAGAGAGATTTGGTACTTAAATACTATTCCTAAACCGTAGACATTACGTAATTATTTTAGGGAGAAGAAATGAGGCAATATATAAAAAATGTACACGTTTTTGATGAAACACAATATCTATAATGAGGTGTGAGTTAAAGAGAAAGTGAATCTTAAGATATACGTTTATTAATTAGTGCTACTAAGAACATTTTAAATCCTAAGGTGTTTCCGCCATTTGGCGAGGCTAAGTCAAGAAAAGTGTCGATATAACTCTCACCCTATTGTATTGTACTGATTTTATCTTTTTCTATTACAAACTATAAAAATTGCTAGAAATACTTTTCAATTTGCACAGTCCCAAAATATAAAATAAAAATTCAATTAGCAAAGGAAACTCAGGAGAAAAATATTAAAACGAAATTTTTATAAAAGCACTAACAAGCTCTTGAAACTAGATTTATTTTTGGCGAAAAACAAATAGTGCCAAGTAATTTCCATACACTCGCAGGTACAGTATGTTCTGTAGCTATCCTTCTAGGAAAGGGCACAGCCCTGCACAATGAGGACGTAGGGCACCTTATGCGCGACTCTCGTTGTCACGTGACGCGTCGGCCGTAAGGTGAACAGATTCCAAATGCCCGCTTGTATAAAGCATTAGCCTCGCAGCAAATAAGGAGAGTCGCGGAAATCCGAGATTTCGCGTCACCCGAGGTGACTTGGGGTGCTTCAAGCGCTGGCTCTTGATGGGCTTAGGCAACACTACGTGATGAGTCACGCATCTCGTGGTGTCTCTACTCCTTGGTTTGCGTTCATGTATGTACGTGTGTATCTGTATTTTCAATGATAATACTGACTATGCACATCAGATTTCACTTCCTTATACGTTGTAGTTGAAAATTCCGTTATGTATTTTCCTTATTTCCGTGTAATCCGAGTACCATCAGCCCCAGTTACCTCGGATTATCGCGACTCTAGATCTTTTTTACATTTCTTGTTTCTTTCTCACGACGGAACGCGTCCCCTAACCCTTGGCGCTTTGTGGAGAAATCCTACGTTACATTTTTATTATTAATTTGCAGTAATCCTCCTTTACTCTTTATAAGTCGTGTTAGACCGTATGATATTGACAAGAAGACCGCCAGGTAGCATTTCCGCGTACACGCCTTCCACACAGCAGCCAGAATTTAGAAGGATTTCAGGAATGGGGTAGTTTTTAGGACACTTCACAGGGGTTGCACTAGCCAGGTAAACTCGTTAATTGGTAACAAATTTCACATGCGATTATCCGGGAATCGAACTCGGACCTCCTTGATGAAAGACGAGCGACTTCGCTCTGAACCACCCTACCCCACCTTACTCTATTAAAACGCACGTACCCAGACTTACGTTTTTGTAACGCGCCCGCTGATTGGTGTTCAGAGACTCGGACCAGGCGATCGAGATGCTACTGAAGTTCATCCACATCGACACGCGGCCGGCCATCCACGCGGAGCTGATGGAGCGGCTGGAGTTCGTGCTGCAGCACTACCGCAAGGAGCTGGTGGACATCGAGGACGACTTCTGGGTACTTATTTAGTATGGGTATTTATTATAGTAGTATGGGTATTTATTACAGTATTCAGGAAACCTACATCGAGCAGGCGCACCACGTGGGCGGTCCCCTAAATGCGCCTGGGTTTTTATTTTCACTTTCTCCACCAGATGTCAGTCTCTGCCTTAGCACCCAAACAGTTTGGTTGGGACAAATTAATTTTCCCGGACATTCCGCCAGGGGTGTTTTACATGCCACGAGAGTGGCATGGCTACTGTACACTTCTGGGTACGTAAACGTTTTGTTTCTCGCTAATGTTGCTGCTCTTGGCTCGTTACGTGCCAGGACCGGCTAGTGGTGGCCCAGCCTCTCGGCAGTTCGTGTCGTTAGCACGAAGACATCCCTTCACCGCATACCCTGGTGCTCGTAACCTTAGAATGGGCTTCCTCATCGTCACACAGCCATAGATACTGCGACATTTATATCGATCGGGAATCGAACCCAGGGTTGCAACTGTTGCCACTGTAGCGAGAGTAATTAGGATTATAGAATTCTAGATCCAAAGTCGGCGAAACTTTCTGCGATGTCTAAGAGCTTGTTCGGATTACGGCTCTGTTTCCAGGTAATTTCTAGCGGCCAGTTATTATAATTTAGGAGAATGCTGGTGGGAAACAAGGAAATATAATGTTTCATTACGTATGGCTACGGGTCCCCTGCAAACTTCTGATCCTCTGCGCGCACGGGCCGTTCCTCTTTCTTGTCCTATTCTCCCCCCCTACACACACACACACACACACACACACACACACCTACATGCACTACACTACCACACATGCCGGGAGACAGCTCGGGAGCTTATAGGTTCTTGTTCTACATTCAGAAATACTCCAAGGAAAGACAACAGATCGTATAAGCAATGTTAATTTATTATCCAGAATGAAAGAATAATCAAAGTACAGAGCCAGTTTCCGTTCTTCCAGATGCCCCTTAATACAGCACTAGTTCAACAAAATACCAGGAGAAATCACCGTTACAACCACAGCACTTCGTACAACACTTCGGGCCACTACGTTACACTACTAGAACCCACTCGCTTCACTGCTGTCTCTGAATGTGTTCCGGTCCCGCGTCCCCATTTTTGCGAGCGACTCCGTTTTTTCTGCCTCAACGATTGCAAAAAGGGAGAAAAGCGTCCCGCGGGCGGCCTGGCCGCCGCTGCTGCTCTGCCACCTGGCGGCGCCTCCCAGTTCCTCCCATTACTGAGAACGCTGTCCCGTTGGGCCATTGCCGCGGGCCCTTTCTGTGGTGTGGCATGGCAACGCCATAGCAGTTCTCCCGGCGAAAGACCACCACCAACTCCCGAGGAAAAAGCATTCTACACTTGCGGGACTAATGACTGCTTAAGAGACAGATGACACACGTCTCATTTCTATCATTCAATCAATCGAACTCCCCTTTGCTACCTGATGGAAGGTCTAACAAAGGCCAGCCAAGCACAGCTGTAAACTCCCGGCCGGTCTCCTCGCATGTAGGGTAAAGTAGTGCATGTAAGTATAAGTGTCAGGGGGAAGGATAGGACAAGGAAGATGAAGGAAAGATCGCCCTTGATCCGTTTGGTAGGGTATTGCTCCGGCATTTACTTGGTATTAAGCGGAGAAACTACAGAGAACTACCGATAAAAGAAACTGCCGCTCGAATTCGTGGGCAGGCAGCGGCTGAATTCCACCTCGCTGCCTCCATCGGGACTCGAACCTAGGACTTCCCTGAACGAGGGACTGCAGTTTATGCCTTGAGCCACCTCTCCTGATCTAAGGGTCTTCGAAGATCGCGGTGAACGTCCCCCATGCCACTCAAAATTTCCCCCAAATGGTAAAACTACTCTGACTCAATGATTGGAAAATTATTTTGTATATGAATCTTATACATATGGCTCGCTTTCCATGAAATATTGTAATTCCTAATATTGATTATTTTATGACACGAATTTCACGTTTACTTTCGTATGTTTACAGAAAAACAAAGCAGATCCTCCCCTCTACAGAAATCACCCGCCCTACTCTGGCGCCATCTACTGGTCAAAATGCCTGTACACCATCCTCAGGAAACCTGTCTTAGTTTTCCAAACCGTTCCTGAGTTCAGTGGAAATGCTCTCAGGCAAAGTGTAAGTATTCTGTTGTTGAATATGTTAATGTTTGCTATATAGTTTTGAGGATGAAAATCTGGAATTCCCAGTTAAACATTTTTCGCAAAAAGGAATTATTTAGTTCTATGAGAAGGCAGTGCCATGAAGGAATATAATTCAAATTATATGTTACTAGTGGACCCGTCAGAACTTTGTTATTGCAGTGTATTACACCTTACACACTATTGGTTACGCGTTTTAATCACGTTTAACACTACGCTGTGAAAAATTCTAATAGTTGAAAGACATTCTCGCAAGTATGGGTTTGTTCAATGTCCTGGTTTGGACATGGTAATCAAGTACCCTTTCGTAAAATGTTCTCCTCAAATTTGGGCACGCGTTAGCTATGACTATCTTGAAGAATGTTGATTTACTTGTCTGAGATTCAAGTAATAATTCAGGCATATATTCCATAATTATATAGGCAGAATGCAGTTAAGACTCGTTTAATCCTTGTCTTGCGGTGGGTTGAGTAGAGTTCAGGAGCGCTTGAGACATCATAAACGAATAAATCATCAACAACTCCGCCACAAGTCCGATTTAATTCAAACCACTTTTTAAACACCCTCGTTATTCATAATAACAAAGTGTGAACATTGCACCTGCCACCTAGATAATACTAATAAGACCCGGTAAATTCTGGGTGCATGCACGCGTGGTCCAAGTCAGCCTATTCGTGAGCAAAAAAGGATAATAGTCGTGAAGTTTTTACTTCTTCGTTTACGTATGTTTACACGGAGTAATATACACGAACGTAGTATGGAAAAGGTTAAGTTGTATGGCGGAAAATTGATGTTCAGGATATGACGGATTTTGGAGTGCTGATCGATTTTTTTTGAAAAAGCTGTTTGTCTCTCTCTTCTCTCTCTCTCCACTCTCTCTCCTCTCTTCTCTCTCCTCTCTCTCCACTCTCCTCTCTCTCCTCTCTTTCCTCTCTCTCCTCTCTCTCTCCTCTCTTTCCTCTCTCACTCTCGCAAACTTTGCCCTCATGGTCTCGCCTCGTAAACCATTGCATTAACTGAGCATTACTTGTGTAATTTTGAAACTGAAACGCGTGCGCGTGGCAGGTGAACAAGGACTACTTGGAGGTGGCGACGGAGCTGCGCGGCTACATGGACAAGAACTTCAAGCACTGGCTGCGCAGGGCCATGCCCATCGTCAGGGACGGCCTGGAGCGCTGCGTCCTGACGTGCGTCCGCTGCAAAGGCATGATCATCGGTGCGTCATTACATAAGCAATCCATTGCGACCGCCACCCCACCCCCTTTTACGTTTTGGAAAAGTCCAAACGCGCCGGCTGACTCGAGGGGTGTAGTCCAACCCCTGCAAAGTGTCATAAACCCCTATCCTAATGCCTTTCCGATTCTGAGCGCTGGGTAGTGGCGTAGGAGACGCGTACGCGGAGTTTCTACCTGGCGGTCCTCATGACAACTGACTGCGACGAGATGTGAGATATTATACAGGCAATGGAGGATTACTCCTAAGCGCACTAATTAACAGAGAATTACTCCCAGGCGCAAAGCAGTGAACACGCTCTAAGCGTCAATTCAGACGCAACACATTAAGAGAGAAAGGGTGGGGGGATCGTTTCATTTGCAGGCATCTGCGAGGGGTCGCGCCACGCCAACCGCGAGAAGACGGTGTACGAGTCGTATCTGAAGCAGTGGCACCGCGAGACCATGTCCAAGCTGACGGAGTACGGCGGCGCGGGCAAGGAGGAGGGCGGCGGCAAGGGCGCGGGCAAGAAGACGAGCAAGGTGCCCGCGTGGCGCAAGCAGCCCCCGTCCGCCCTGGCGCGGCCCACGCAGCACGACAGGCTCACGCGGCAGGCCAAGTGAGCACGACAACTGCTCAGGTCATTGGATCCGAAAGTGAAGTGTATGGTTTTATCTCGGGAGGGGGCGGTGACCTTCTCCCCCCAATTGCTGGATGGCGAGATCCGGCGCCAACCTACCGTCGGCTACCGGGGTTTTCCCGAACCAGGTATCTCCATCCAGCTAGGCACCGCCTCAGCCGAGGCACGTTGGAAGCTCCTGACCGGTCGTCCGGCCTGTGTTAGTGTGTGTAAGTAAGAGGTGAGGATAGGACAAGGTAGAGGAAGGAAGGTTAGGGAACTATTCAGTCATTCGCGTTGGAACGCGACCTTAGGAGCTGCCGGCCAGAGGCGTACAGAGGAAGGGGGGGACGAGCCTCATTCGAGGTGTGAGGCCCACCAATGAGTCTACGCGCCACGTGGTCCTCACTGTGCAAAGGCAGGTTGCTCCCCGTCTCGCACAGCTGCCCGCGTTGGGCGAGACCTACTGTCTTCACTGACGTTTCTTGATTACATTCCTCGAATGTTTGCCATTATTTATTTGGATGTTCTCTCAGTCTGTTTGTAATGAATGCCATTCAAAATTAAATAATACAAAGGCGTTTTTGTCTTGGTTTGCTATGAAAAACGCGAAAGCCACATTTCGCCCAAACATTGAAACCCGCAATAAAAATAAGGATTTACTCTTATACGTTGTGCACATTCGGGATTCCTTCCTAAAATACCAACCTTTTATTTCCAATTGTTTGGGATTTTGATATATTTGAAAGTTAAACGCAAACATTTGGTATATTTCTGACATTCGCGATAGTTCTAGCGCGTGATTGTTGAGATCGATGATTTTCCGTGGTATTTCCACACAATATCCGACGAATGTCGGAGCAATTCGTCAAGAAACGGGCCACGGATCTTGAGGGATCTTTCTTTAATTTTGATGTCTCCTCTCCCTTGTCAGGCATTCCACACTGCCACATATGTCGGGAGGCCAGCGTAGAGCATGCTTCAGCTGGAGCGGTGGTCCTATGGGGGAGGGGGAGATTTCTGGATATGGACAACCTCGTAGGGGAACACCATTGGAAACATATTTTGCGTCAAAGATGCCTTTGTACGAGAGATTGATGGGGATGGACATCTCTGCCTGCGGACTGGGCTATCTAACGAGGTTTTTGTACAATATATTCATTGGATCGAACTATTAATATTATTGTAGAGAATATAAAATATTTTAACGTCTATTCAGAGCTAAATAGTAATATTATAGAAGTAAAATACTTCAGTAATTGTGAGAAATCAAATATTAACCTTGTTCGCGAAAGCCTATTTTGCTTGAAGTCGTAGGCTTCCGCGGCCAGAGTCATGTGCGTGATCTGGACTGTCCGGGTGACCGAAGGCTGTGTTGCTTACCAGCCCTGAGGAAGACCACGAAAAGATGGTCGAAACATCGGCAACACAGCCTTCGACGCTGCGTCATCCGGACAGCCCAGATCACGCACTAATTTGCTTGCTTTAAGCTTAACGTTGACAAGGCAAATGAAGTATGTTGTTATGCCCCACAAAAACGCACTTTTCATAAAAAATACATTTATTCCAGTCTTACTCAAGTTCAGCGTAACCATTCACTAGCAAGTTTTTCAATGCTCCGGGGGATGTACCAGGGAAAGACAGAATCACCGTTTACCAGGATGATGTCCAATGTTCGTTGCAGTAGTCCCGATTTTACCGTCCAGGAGAGAGAGTCCGTTCAACTTCGCCGCTTTGTTGTCACTCACTCTATACTGCCGGTAGGAGCTAACTGCCTCCTGCTCGCTGGGACGCCGCTTTATAGCCCACTGGGGTTAAGGGTCCGCTGGCTAGCCCCGTGGTAAGGGTGGTTTGCGGTGCTTAGCCGCGCGAGACGGCACCGCGCTGCTGCTATCGCCCTCTCTTGAGTGGCGTTAAAACTGTTTTGGTGGGTCCTTCAAGGGTGCGCGGGCGACTACTGCAGTTGTTATTTTGTGAATTTCATGGCACTGTAGAATGGATAAAAATATCTACGTAGACTGTCAAACGAACCCACCACTCCTCCAATTATGAAACCACACTTTCACTCTTAGCCATCCATTTATTGTTCTAACACTTCTCTTAGAACAATACATTTTATAATAACGAAACTCGACAGCAACATTACGTATTTAAAAATTAATGACAATTTAGTTAATGAGCAGAAATCACAGAAGTATATTACGTCTATACTACTACGACTACTACTACTACTACTACTACTACTACTATTTAGCTCTCAATGGACGTTAAAATATTTTATATGCTCAACAATAAAAAAATTTAATCTCATTGTTCGGTTTAGAGAACGTAGGTTTGAAAATCAACGTTAGATATCGCTCTTAGCAGGCAGAGATGTTCTTCGCCATCAACCTACACTTCGTGCCAAGGCGTTTCAACGTAACATATTTCGCTTCCTTGGCGGTGCATACGTCGGTGCCTGGTCTTAGGTTCCAAAAGGGAGGAACGCTGCCAACGTCCACGATAACTCGTGCAGTGCGCTAATGCGATAACGAACGACCTTATCAGTGGGCGCCCACTCACTCGCTCGGAGGCGAGCGCAAGTGAAATTCGCTCGAGATTTCTGACAGCCGGCGAGGACATTATGCTCTCTAGATGGACCTATTTAGATTAAATTAATTTTATTGGGGAGGGCGTAAAATGTGGGTGGTAAAAGGAATAGGATGAAAGGGGCAGAACAAATTTAGAAAGGGTGGGGAGTGAGGAGGTGTAGAGAAGGGGACGTGAAGAATGGAAAGGAGAGGGGGAGTGGAAGAGAGAAAGAGAGAGGGGCAGGGGAATGGAAGAGTAATATGGAGGGGAAGAGAGGGAAGGGGTAGGGGAGGTGGAAGGGATGAGAGAGGGGACGGGAAGAAGGCAGGGGAAGAAAGAGGGTGAGGGGAAGGGAGATGGAGAGAAGAGACACAATGGGAAGAGAGTTGGGGGGTGGGGAGGGGAGAGCGTGAGCGGGCGTGCGGGCGCAGGTCGCTGCTGGCGGGCATGGACCAGAACGTGGCCATCTTCGCCACCAAGTTCCGCAAGGCCAAGAGCAAGGCGTCGCAGGTGTCGGCCAAGTCGCGCGACATGCGCTGGAACTCGGTGGGCGCGGAGATGACGCGCTCGCGGGCGGACAGCGGCCTCGCCGCCGGCAGCATCCTCACGGGCGGCGCCTCGGGTGAGACGCCTGCGCCTTCGCTATTAACATCCTAAATAAACTGAAAGTGTCTCTATGTCATTTTCGTACTTTCAAATTAGATACAACTCTCTTGTTCTATTTGTAAAACGTATATCACACCAAATAAATTGTTCAAAATAATATTGCGAAGCGTTTAGAAACTTTGTGAAAAAGTGTGAGCTTTGGCTACATCACTAGTTTTCTTTTAATTGGAAGTGAGTAAAAATATACTCATTTCAAATAGAGAGAAGATGTAGAAAATGAGAACATAATACTACCACATCGTAAAATAGAAACTGATATCCTAACGAATGATGTGGATAAAAACAGCTTACAGAATGGTGGAATTGATTTATTTTGTGCTCACATGAAAGAGCCATTCCTGCTCGCACGAAAAGGGAAATTGTAATTATATTGCACTAGTGGACCCGGCAATACTTCGGTATTACAATGTATTATATTTCACATGCTAATGGTCACGCGCATGTTAATCACGCTTTTCTGCAAAAATTTCAATAGACAAAAGACTTTCTCGCGAAGGTGGTTCCGTCTCTTACCCGTCTACCTGTCTTTATTTTTGTGTGTGTCTTTCTTAGTTTGTTTCTGTTTGTTTCTCTCTCCTTTTTAGTGCCTCTGCCTCTGTCTTTCCCAAGAGAAATTTCACAATCGCAGGAGCAGAATACGCAATGAAGACGTCTTAATAATAATAATAATAATAATAATAATAATAATAATAATAATAATAATAGTGTTTCAGTGTGCATCGGGTTGCAAAGAGAGCGTGGCATAAAGTGTCTTGGTCAAAACCGCTGAGTCTGCATAAAATCATCATCAACGTGTCTGTGTGCGCACTCATGTATACATTCGTATCGTACTATGCCTATATTTTTCCCGCACGTTCAAGCAATACGTCGAAAAAGTTTTATCGCAATCGGATGAACGGTACGGAAGCACATTCAGCACGATCACACAAACAAACGTTTACTAGGCTAACCGGAGTCCAGGACACAGATGCCAACGTTTCGGTAGTCATTCTGCGCCCTTCATCAGGTCGTAGTATTGCAAATACTTTTCATTGTTTGGCAATACTACGCCCTGATGAAGGTCGCAGAATGGCGTAACGTGCCCTGGACACGGCGTCTCCCGGACAGCCAAGTAAACACTGACTCCGGCCGCGGAAGCCTACGCTCTCCTACACAAACAAACCTTGTCTTTTATTTATATAAGACTTACGCGTAGCGGTGTGGACGGGCCTGATGGTGCATGTGCGCTGGCAGGGGTGGCGGACATGGGCTACGGCTACGACGAGATGGAGGTGCTGCGCTGGGACTCGCACACGGAGGAGGCCGTCAAATTCCAGGCCTTCCTGTACGCGTGGATCCGCGGCGGGCGGCGCAGCGCGCGCGACCCCTGGCCGGCCGTCGTGGGCGACAAGGTGCGCCAAGGAGCGAGGGTTCCATTGACACACAGCTCGATCATTAGTCAACGCCCATTGTATAAAACACGCAATTCAGAATTACTTATTTATTAGTTAACTAGATGTTAACCATGCCCACCGCAGTCGTGGGCGAAACGTTTGGCATCTCAGAGCCAATTGGACCACGGCCCATCAGCCCGGAAGACATGAAGAATATTAACTAGATGTTAACTTGTCTACTTTTGTCTAACGGCGACAAAATGTCTTTCATAATGGTGCATATCTTATTTATGCGCCAAGGCGTTGTTGTATTGATCTGCGACAAAAAGACCGATGGCTCAATCATTAGTTAACACCCATGGTACATACATGCTTTTATGTTCTGCGTAATTCATAATTCCTTATTTATTAATTAACTATATGTTCACTTGACTAGGTTTGTCTTTTCATGTTTCATTCTCATAATTCTCTTCCATAATGGGCCATAAGTTATTTATGCACCAAAGCGGTTGTATAGGTTCTAATGATGGAGCGGCGACAAGAAAGCTCGATGGATTGATCATTAGAACCAGTTAACACCTGTGATATATACATAACCATTTCTCACATAATTTTATTGGTTCAGATTTACTTATTTACAAATTAACTACATGTTAAATTGAGTCGATTTGTCTTTTCATATTTCCCTCTCATAAACACCTTCCATAATACCCTCTCATATTTCCCTCGTAATCAGGATTCTATCGACAATAAGGTCTACGATGACGATATGTCTAGAGATTGTGATGACTATTTTACATACGAAATTAAGACCAATTTGGTTAAATTACATACGGTATTAACAAATTAGAGCATTGACTCACCAAAAATTATCAGTTTTCTTTACCGATTTTAATTAACTCCTCTTTCATAATGCTCTATAATAAGCTTTCATTCATGTCTCAGAGGTTGATAGGTACTCCTTGTGGACGTTTTATAAAGCACCTTGAAATAAGTAAACAGAGAATGGAGATTGACACAATAGTAATAATTTAAAATGTGTAAACTTACCAAATTAACTTACAGAACGGGTATTAATGAACCAGCTTCTTAAATTCAAATTTCAGTCGTGAAATACTTTTATTAAATTCCACTCTTGCTTTGATATAATATTACGTGTGCCTATTCCAATTGTGAAATTAAAATCAAAAGTGTTCAACAATACTCAAAAAATACCCTAATCAGGGCCGTCTATCTGAAAAAGTTAATTGCTTTTTCCAACAGATTTTTCTTAACGCTCGCCCCTATTGGCCTATAAGCTGAGACTCACCTTAGGAGGCTGTATGTATCGATCGCTCTTTAATTTTATTAAACCGCGTATATTTTAAACCATAACATAGGTTTCAGTTGTTTTCAATATTTGACGCATTTTGAAACTCTGTAGGACGCAATTTCATTCGGGGAATATTCCTGTTAAAATACCACAAACGCTCCTTGCTTGGCGAGTCAGGGATTTATTGACAATTTCCAAACCACTCGCGGTATTTCCTATGATATACTGTATATAACTACTGCAACAAATGTGAAAGTCACAAGGCGTGGTATAAACTAACTCTCGTGCGCGGCGGCAGGTAAATACCTGGATTTTAAGTCTTCAGTAACCGATAATGTACGATTTAAGATTCGTGTAATAAGTTTGAACTCAATAGTTTAAAACTAACATCTAAATTACAAATAACTACGATATTGGTGAAAATACTGCCTACAAACGTTAAGGATGACATATGATAGTCTTTATCTAGCACACCCTATAATAGTCAAGGATATAACGTTCTAATCTTTCAATCAGTTTATCGATTAAAATTAATCGATATCAAGTTACAAGAACTTCCTGAGCGTGTTAAAATCATTCTAGATGTATAAAATGAACAATTTCGGAATTTAAATCAATTGTCAAAAGTTTCTGGAATTTTAGAGAAGTATCAGGGTTTTGAATGTTGGTACCGCTGCGGCAGGTGCTGCTGGAGTACGACCTGCGCTTCGACGTGAACTTTAGCGACGAGCTGCTGGACACGCTGGAGGAGGCCATCATCATGGAGGAGACGGGGTACGACCTGCCGCTGTACCTGCGCGAGGTGGCGGTGCAGAAGGACGACCTGGCCATGGAGCGCGAGCTCGTCAAGAAGATGGCCGACTCCTACAACGGCCTGCTCGAGGGGCTGTCTCGCGCCGAGGTCAGCGCCATTAGCCTGGCGATGGCAGGGACAGAATTCCTGAGTTTTCAAAGTTGGCATGCTTGTTTGTTGGTTCCTATTGCATTACATACTAAAAATTCCTGAAGTGTGGGGGTTGAGCCGTGGGGGGGGGGGCGTTTAAACGTGCTTTTTGGACGTTTATTGCATATACCTCCATAACTATCAATCCCATAGAAAATTATGTTCTATACAAAATTAAATTAAATACAATATCTTACAAAAATGTTCTTATAAGGTTTTGGTGTAAAACTTACCATTTTACAGATATAGGCTTGATAAGTTTTTGTTTTTGTTTACGACAAGATCCTAGTTATCGCTCTTATAAAAATGAAGTTTTTAGTTCAGTCCACGGAAGTCATTCTATTTTCATTCAACATTTTTAACACTATGTATTTGCATATTTTGCGCAAAAAACAGGAACATTCTTCATTTTTAAAATTCTTATTTTGTGTACGGACTTGTAAGTATCCGTGGTCATTGGGGTCCGAGATTACCTCGGATTTGCAAAATGTGTACACTGTCAACATACAAATTACATAAAACAGTGCAAATGGAATAATCACGTTTACCGTGCACGTTGAGGGTAAACTAAAACTGAGAGTGACTGTCACGAACACTCACGACGAACTACACGAACGTCAATGTTTGGCGGGGGGATCTAATAATTAGTGAATTAGGGGAAACCCCATCATTTTTGAAATTGCTAACAGCTTGCACACTTTTGCAATGAGTTATGTTGTTT